CACCCTCTGGAGTGAGGGGATGGATGGTTTTGTGGCGACTAGTACGGGAATTTGATTGCTAAAGAGTTGCAATTAGGTGACAAGAAAGGGAGAGGGAGAAAGGTCAAAAACGGTCACAAATTATCCAGCTAGCACACATTTGTTCATAAAACGTTAGAACAATGTTGCGCGCTGCCTTAGTCCAACATTTTATATCATTTAGATTACAAATGCGACGTCGCTAATGACCAAAAAACAACGTTGCCCGAACGTTATATTTTAAGTCAGCATTGCGTAAAATTTTATGTTGATTCAACGTTGTATTTTACGTTAGCGCAACGTTGTATTTTATGTTGATTCAACGTTATATTATACGTTTGCACAACGTTATATTTAACTTTTATTGAAATTAAATTTATTTGTTATACATTTTAGTATATAAACGGACACTAATTATGATATATTAATACACGTATATTATTGTATACAAGCAGAGTTGTTAACAAGGCCAAAAGAAGCAAGGCCAAGGCCACACGTTACAAGGCTGAGGCCAAGACCAAGGCCAAAAGAGACAAAGCAAAGTACTAGGTCAAGGTCAAGGGTTTTAAGTTCAAGGCCAAGATTAAGAGTTTCAAGGCCAAGGCCTACGCAAACATTTTCAAGACCAAACTCTATTTGTATGACCAAACAATTTTTGCCTAACGTTAAGACCAATTATTAACAAAACTGTAAATAGTAAGCACTGTGACAATAAAACCACATTTTGTAAAAATTAACCAGGGTTATGCGCAGAATTCAACAAAATCAATAAGAAAATACGTATTTTTTTTAAGGTCAAGGCCAAAATTTTTAAGGCCAAGACCAAGGCCAAGGCCAACAGTTTCAAGACCAAGACCAAGGCCAAGGCCTCAATTTTTGGCCTTAAGGCCAGGCCAAGGCCAAGGGCTAACAACTCTGTATACAAGTATTTATACATATATATTTCAATAGTTTCGATGAATTAACATTGCTGATAACTAGAGGTGTACCTGATATACTTGTCAGATATGCCGGATAGTGAACTTTTCTCAATTTCTATTAGTGTTTATGAAGTAAAAACAAGTTTTGCCATTCTGCATTAAGTAGTATTCAAGATTTAAAAAATAAAATCAATAAAAAACTGGGATAACACGGGTATATGCGTTAATATTGTATAAAGAAAAATCGTTTTTTATAGCAAAAGTTTTTTTTTTTAATTACTATTTTCTTTACTTCGTCAGCACATATACCATATCATACAGTTTTTCACTAACTTTTTAAAGTAAGATCTTGAATACTATTTATTGTTGACTGGCAAAACTTGTTTTTTCTTCATAAACACTTATAGAACTTTAGAAAAGTTCGCTATCCGGCATATCGGGCTTAAAAATTAGGTATATCTATATTGATAACGTTTACCTAAACTTATTAACAAGAATTTGATTTAAAAAATTATTATTCATGTTTGTTTTGCTTGTGGCTTAATATTTCCTAATATGTTAAAGAGAAAAATATATCAGCAAAATATATTTCCATAATCAACTAAAATATATGAATGAAAAATAATTCTTATGAATTATACAAATATATATTTGTATATCTGCTTTTTCTCGATGCAAACACAACGTTGATTGACTGTTTAAAATCCAACGTTGTTCCAATGGATCAATGTTGATTCATTGTATATAATCTAACGTTAATCCATACACATTGGATTAACGTTGCGTTATAAACATTGGATCAACATTAATTCATATACATTGGATCAATGTGGGGTTATACACATTTAGTCAACGTTGATGGTATTGTGTTTATATTTCAGTAGTCCGCCAGCTAATTGCCTTGACAAGAATTACATAAAAAGTATACAAAATATTTCTATGCTTTTCATGTCGAGAAACAGAGCGCAGCAAGAATAAGCGAGCAAAGAAAAGTTAAGAAAAGTGGGAAAAAATAAAAGTAAAAAATTATTTAAAATATGTATTGTAGCGTCTTTCCACGCGCCTGTTAGAGTGTGATTAGATATTTTTGCAACCCAGGTTAATTGGATAGATTTTAGTTTTTCGCTTATATCTATAATGCTCAAACTTTCTAGATTAATAGGGAGTTTGGAGATTTTTTGGTTTGTTTTAATGGAGCTATTGCCCCAAAGGAAGTTCTCAACCATTTTTTCAATATATTTGATGATTTTATCGTTTGTATTGGTAGCGTGAAAGCTAAATGCCAAAGGTTACTTAAGAGCGCTTAATTTATAACAACTCTTTTACCTATAAAGGATAAGTTAAACATTTGCCATCGCTTATTTTTTTTTTGAATTATAGATATGCTTTCATTCCATTGTTTAATGTTAGTTAAAGTGTCTCGATTTGAGAAGTAAATACCTAAACTTTTAAGGGTATAATCTTCCCAATTGAAATTTAAAAAATTTTCTTTATTTTTTGATTTATTTTTACCGAGCCACAGACCTTGGCATTTTGATACATTTAATTTGGCTCCACTAGCTCTTTCGTTGAGCTCTAGAGCTTTACCGAGTTTTTCGATAGACTTATCGCCTGTTAAGTAGAAATTAGTATCGTCAGCGTATTGCTGGATTTTAGTTTCATTTTGGTTCACGGTTATCTCTTTAATATTTTTATTTGCTCTTACGTAACCGGAGAAAATTTCGGCCTGTATGATATATAGGATCATCAAAAGAAGGCAACCCTGCCTTACTCCTCTGTTTATTTCAACTTTTTCAGATAAAAATCCATTTATTTTTATTTGCGCGCTTTTATCATAATATAGCGTTTTAATATAGTTTATAAAAACTATTTAAAACGAAAAAAAGATATAGTATCGTATAAATAGTTTCTATCTACTCCATTATATATCAATCGATATTATAAATGTATCTAATTGATTTTTGTTGGATATTCTTATGATATCTCTAATGTATAATTAATTGTAATAAATGGTTCTATGTGGAACGCATGCCGTTTGATTTTCGTTTATAATCAAGGGTAGCACCTTTTTTAGCCTATTTGCGAATATTTTTGTTATGATTTTATAGTCTGTATTTAAAAGAGAGATTGGACGCCATTTATTTATGTCCGTCTTCGTCTTCTCAACGTTGATCCATATACATTGGATATTTTGCTAACTATTTTTAATCACGTCATTATTATAGTTTTCATTAACATAAATACAATAAAACTAAGATTGGATCAACTTTGTATTTGCATCGGAGAAAATAGCCGTTGTTCGCGATGTTTTTACATACATTGGCCCAACGTAAGTGTGCTAGCTGCGTTGCGTGGCATAATTTATGGACAACCCCCAAGCACATTTGACAGAAATATAAATGATACTTTCGGTTTTCTAATATTTCAAGCTCATGTGGTTCAAAGATACAGTTCACAATCAAAATGAAAAGCCTCAATAAAGAGTCAAGTTTTTGTATATCGCAGTACGGAAGTAGGGGAGAACCTTAATGAATGGGACAATTATTGAATGGGACAAAATCAAATTTGCATAGAAGCATCTACGATTGGCTATCCAAACTCCTGTGGTAATAAGTGTTTGACACAACGATTCAACAGACCAAATCTTTATTTCTATTATGGTCTAAACGTAATGGCATTGGATGTTATTGTGTTTTGAAGAACAATAAGTAATTTTTAAAATCAATTTTCTGTGTCTGATTTTGCAGCGATTACTAAAGTTAAGGAAAATGAAACTCCAATTTTCAACACCCAAATGTCTCTACTTTTTAAATTTGTAAAGTATTTTTGTTTAGGTATTACTGTTTTTAACCTGTCCTGTCATTTGTGGATATAGACAGATTTAGAACCACATTTTAACATCAACTTAAAACGTATTTAAAAAAAAAATTATGTGTGACCATAACTAAGTTGCCGAAATATATTTTTATATATTTCGGCAACTTAGTTATAGACATAACTAAGTTGCCGAAATATATAAAAATATATTTCGGCAACTTAGTTATGGTCACACATAATTTTATTTTTAAATACGTTTTAATTTGATGTTAAAATGTGGTTCTAAATAAGTGTGACCAATGCTTTAGCTAAAATTCAAAATTGTGTTCATAGAACTAAATCTTTTCTTTAGTATTCTTTAAAGTTGAGTTGATCAATAGTTTATTAAATGAAATTAATTTTAAATATTTAATTAGATATGTTGATGTATGATATTTATAATATGTATAAATGTTTAATTAGATATGTTGATGTATGATATTTGTAATATGTATAAATATGGATAAATGTTTAATTAGATATGTTGTTGATAACAGAGTATTAAAAAGACGGCAAATATTATATATATATATATATATATATATATATATATATATATATATATATATATATATATATATATATATATATATATATATATATATATATATATATATATATATATATATACATATATATATGTATATATATATATATATACTTATAATTATTTTTTTGTATTTATTTATTGTATTTATATACATTTATGTATATCTATTTACACACACACACATATGTATTTATATCATATAATGTATGTATGTATATGTATCATACATATACATACATATATATGTGTGTGTATATCTGTGTGTATTTTAATTATATATTTCATGTTTGTATTTAAATATTTGCATATGGCATATATTTGGTTTTTTGTGAAGTTTCAAATTTTATTTTAGATGAAACCAAACACAAAATTAATACGTAAAAACTCTTTAGAAGATGCAGTAAAAAGTAAGTTCTTAAGGGTATGTCCATACGAGATGCAGCTGAAATGTATAGTTTATCAAAATCTGCAGTAGGTAGAGCTGTTAAAATGGCAAGATGTCAAAAGCTGCCAGACTATAAACACATTGTAAACATTGGAAATAGAAAAATATTTCATGTGTCTGAGGAAAGTCCTATTGCAGATTATTTGCAAACGTCTTCAAATATGTGCTATGGTTTAACTAAATTACGAACTAGGCAATTAGCCTACAAGTACGGAATTGCATTAAATTCTAACAGTATTCCAGAGTCATTGCACCAAAATAAAATGGCAGGAAAGCAATGGTTGGAAAGTTTTTTGATACGACATCCAAAATTATCACTACGTAAGTAAGGCCACGCGGTTAAGGTTTTTTTCGGTTCGGTTTTTTTCGATTCGGTTTTAAAAATTAAACTAACAATTCGGTTTTTTTCGGTTCAGTTTAAATTTATTTTTGATCGGTTCGGTTCGGTTTCGGTTAAAAAAAAACAAAGTTTTAGAGGTCATTTATTAAATAAATTTAGACTTACAGATTTTTACCAAAAAAAACTAAAAATTAATTTTTATTTTCTTAATATTTTCTTTTATATAAACCATTTTTTCAACATTCTCAACCAACATAGTTCTTCTGGCAGTGACAACGTTACCAGCACTAGAAAAAACCCTCTCTGAAGTTGCAGAAGTTGCTGGTATACAAAGATATTTTCGTGCATAGTTTGATAAAATTGGGTACTGCAACTTCATAGTTTTCCACCACTCTAAAATATCTGTCGTTTCTTCAGCTGTTTCGGCTGCTAAATAATGATCAATTTCTAAACCCAATTTAGTCATCGTTGAAGCACTGCGTGCTAAAATATCTTGTTTCAGTCTTTTTCTAAGCAGTTCATGGTGATTAACTTTAACATTTTCATTACTTTCATTGTCTGTTTTGCTGCTACTCATTGAAGCTTTTTCATGTTTTTTCTCTTTTTCCTGAGTCAATATTGTTTCTTTTATTTCATCACATTTTTTATATTCAATTAAATGCAGGCCTTTGTAACGTGGATCTAAAAAATTTGCAAAACAATTAATCAACTGCTCAGCACCGTTAAGAGGATATCGTTCCTGAAGTTCACAAATCAGCATTTTTATAAATGTTCTTGTTGGTTTATGTTTGTGATGTTGATGGGAAAGAAGCTCTTGGTGCAAGGAATATAATTCAGGTATCACATCTTGGATTGTTGGTCTTTTATCAGCTGATAAAGTTACTGAAATGTTGTATATTTTTTCAAGAAATGGAATGCTGTATTCTAATGTCTTCCATTGATCATCTGAGGGACATGACCTTTCAAACTCATCATTGGTTTTTGCAAGTGTTTTGATTGCATCTTTGACTTCAAGGACTGACTTAATGCACATGTAATCAGAATTCCATCGAGTTGTACATGGAACAATCAATTTCCTGGGCTTAATTCCAAGTTCTTCACAAGCATCTTGAAGCTTGGTCGTAGAGAGAGCACTTCTATGTGTGTGTGATGCTAAATCTGTACAGTTTTTTATTGCTTTAGAAAGTTCAATTGAATTTTTGATTGCTTTTAAAATAACTAGCTGGATTGTGTGATCATTGCAGCGCAATTCAGAATTAATTTCATCACTTTCTTTAGCAGCTAAAACAATGTTGCTCCCATTGTCATTAACGCAGGCTCGATGGACTTCTTCATTTAAGTTTAAATTAGCAATAAAAGCGTCCAGGTTTACTGCAATTGCAACCCGAGTGTGTCTACCAGTAAATGGTGTGCAAGCAATGAGAAAACTTACTAAACTAAAGTCTGAACTAATGTAGTGAATTGTAAGACTCATGTAAGAATCATTGTTCCGACTTGTCCAGAGATCTGTTGTAAAACTTCCAGTTACTTCTGGAAAGTCTTTGAGAAATTTTATTTGCAAACCCTCCTTTACCTTTTCATACAACATAGGAAGCTTTTGACGTCTAAATGTTGATGCAGATTTGACAGTAAACTTGCTATTTACTTCATCAATAAACTCTTGTGCTCCTTCATTGTCTAAAATTTCAAAAGGTAGACCAAGCTTGCAAATAAATTTTGTTAAATCTAGGTCAAACTTTAATTGCTTTGGATCATTTAACCCATATTTTTGGTTTTTTATAATGCAACTTTCAATTGTAGTTGTTTTTGTCTCCTTTTCTTTAAATTTTTGTTTATTAAGTATCTCTGTAGTTTTCAAAAGATGTTCTTTCCAAGATGCTTCATGTTTAGTTTTGACGTGGCTGGTTATTGTTGAAGTACTGCCACAGTTGATTTTGTAAGATTTAAAGCAAATTTTACATTTGGCTTCAAATTTACTTGACTTTTCAAAAAATTTCCAAATATCACTTTCTTTCGGCATCTTTAATGCAAATAAAATAAAAATGATTAGTAAGACAACCAAACCGTATAATAAACATAAACATAGTTCAATATAAATAAATTTAACTAATAATTTTTCAAAATCCTTAAAATGTATTTTAATTATTTTTTAGAACATTATTAGTTACAATGCAAATATTAAACTATTTTACGCCTTGCATGCTCCTAAAGGCATTAATAATATTTAAACAACAAATTATTTTGATTATATCAGTTTTATTATTTATACAATGAAAACAGTTTAGAAAACGAGGTTTCCAAAATAATAATATTATAAGATAAATATTATAAACAATATTAGAAATTTAAATAAGATTAAAAAAATACATCTTTTTAGAAAAAGCTTATACTACACGATATTGATATCCAACCCTTAAAAAATCTTACTCCATCATGGTCCGCAACATTAGTTCTAATTTCACGGCAAGCTATTTTATTATGTTTATTTTTCATTGTTCCCTTTTTAACTTTGCTTTTCTGCGGTTTGAAATTTCTTAAATTTTATTTAAAAATTTGATGTCAAATAATGTTTTTGAAATTTTAAAATTTTAAATCGGTTTTTAAAAGTTTTTTCAGTTACGGTTCGGTTTTTATTTTGATTTAAATAATTAGATCGGTTCGGTTCGATTCGGTTTTTTTGTTTCGGTTTTCACCGAAAGAACGGTTCGGTTCGGTTAACCGCACGGCCTTATACGTAAGCCAGAAAAAGTTAGTCTTGCTCGTGCAACTGCTTTTAATGAACATACGGTGTCAATGTTTTTTGATAACTTGTTAGAAGTTCAATTAAAATATAAATTCAAACCAGAATGTATTTTTAACGCAGATGAGACAGGATTATTAACAGTAACAGATCCTCCAAAGATTATTTCAACTCGTGGAACTAAAAGGGTTTCACAAGCTGTTTCAGCAGAAAGAGGTTCATTGGTGACAATGTTAGCTTTTGTGAATGCTATGGGTAATACAGTTCCACCTGTATTTATATTTCCGAGAGTAAATTACAAGGATTTTATGATATGTGGAGCCCCAACAGGAAGCTTAGGGCTGTGTAACAAAAGTGGTTGGATGACAAGTGAGAACTTTTTAGTTGCAATGAAGCACTTTGTTTCCCATGCTAAGCCATCTGTGGAGCATCCAGTGCTGTTATTAATGGACAACCACGAAAGCCACATTTCATTTGAAACAATAACATTTGCAAAAGAAAACTCTTTGATTTTATTAACATTTCCACCACACTGCAGTCATAGATTGCAGCCTTTGGATGTTTCGGTGTTTGGTCCTTTTAAATCTTATTTTAGATTGGCTCAGAATGAATGGTTGGCCTCCAATCCAGGGAGAATTATTAACATATATAATTTACCTCAGCTAGCATGCAAAGCATATAATATGTCGTTCACAATAAAAAATGTTTGCAGTGGGTTTTCTAAATGTGGGATCTATCCACTCAATAGACAAATATTTGGGGAAAGTGATTTCATATCATCTAGTGTTAGTGACAGACCTCTTCTTGTCAAGCAACCAGAAATTAAACAACCAGATAATCAACAATCATATGAAATAAATAAACAAGTTGATTCTTCAGAATCATCAGTCAAAATAGTTAGTCCAGAATCCATTCATCCGTACCCTAAAGCACCCCCAAGAAAAGATTCTAAAAAAAGAAGAAAGCAGGGTAAAAGTACTATATTAACTAAAACTCCAGAAAAGACAGTAAATAAGAAGAACATTTTTGAAACTGGTAAAATTACCACACAAAATCTAAAAAGAAAAATTGACCTCAAAAGAGGGAAAGAAACAGAAATCTTTGATGCAGATTTTTTAATTGTGTCATCTGTAAAAAATGCACCCGTAAACCAACAACAACAAAATACTTGCAAAATATGCAAATGTAACTGGAAAAATTTCGTTGGGCCTGCTTGGATTCAGTGTTTTACTTGTCAATGGTGGATATGTGGTAATTTTAATAATAACAGCAAGAAGCGTTATTATGAATGTGAACTATGTGAAGTTGACTGTTGATATCTTCTACACTTTCTTTGATGGTTTTTATTTCATGTACTTTGCAACAAGCAATAATTGTTGATTTTTATATTTTGGTTAAACATAAATACAATGAATTTTTTAAATATCTAATAAGATGCTTTGTTATTTCGTTTTTTGAAAGTAAACTAGATACTTTATATGGTATTAAGTTGTTTATTTATAATTTAGCATAGGGAAGATGCAGGCAATGACTCATTTCCCTATTGGAAATGTGTCATTACTGGGAATTATATCCAAGCATTTAAAAAACGCTTTTTGTTTTACTAAAAACAGTTATTCGTGTTTTTAATTTAATTTTAATATACATATATTTTTTAATAAAACTATTTTAGGTTTGTCAATATATGCAGACATTCGACCATATTTATAGCTTTTTCGGGTTCCCTAATGGTAGAAACTACCCTTACTGCTTGACTGGCTTGAAAGTTACTTAGGACCTCTCTTCTTTTATTAATTTTTTAGATTTGTCCCATTCAATAATTTTATTTGTCCCATTCAATGAGTAGTTCTTAATGAATGGGACAAATGCCATGGTCTTATTAAACTCTCTTTTTACCAATACCCATATGCGGAATCAATTTTTTTGTTTTTGTTTATCATAGTACGAGAGTTAACAGTTATCAAACTATTTTCAAAGCGATTTTTAAACAAATTTATCAACCTCAAAAAATGCATTTTACGAAAACTGTCCCATTCATTAAGGTTCTCCCCTACGAAATAATAAGAATAGAAAATGCTTTTTAAAAGCTTTAAAAAAGATATTATAACAATTTAAATTTTATTTATCCGTGTCACCTAATTTATATATTAAATGGTATATTTAAAGGTCTGTTATTGCGCGCAAAATAAACATGTTCGCTGAAAAGCGTCGAACAAGAAATAAATTTGTTAACTTCAATTTTTGTTGTTGTTCCTGGATCTCAAGCATAAATATAAAATTAAAGCTTGAAATTTTTTAAAATTAGGAACTTTTTAAAACTCGAAATCAAGAGCCTTTACAGATTGTCTACGAATCGTAGTTTTGTATACATTCTCATAGTTTCTCAGATTCTACGAATAAAATGAGGGCACTGAATTATGTCAAATACTTGACAAACCGACTAATTCGTAAAAAAACCAACTATAACTTAAAAATCATCTTCTTTGGGGAAGAGGGTGTAACACCCCCTCCTTCCTTCTCCCAGCCCCGCGTAAAATCGCCTCTAATGTATATGAATAATGACCACTCCGGTCTTAAAATTCATACTAGTTGTACAAGGCATATAGTTCAATAAAAAGTGTGCCCGCAATTAAAATTAGGTATTTTTATTTTTTTTTAGGTATTTTTATTTTTTTTTTGTCTTTTTTTAATTTCTAAACACATCTTTTAAAAACTATTTTTAAAAGTAAGTAAATTAATTTTGTAATGATTAGCCAAAATAAAATTAAAAATTGAATAAAAATATATAAAAAAACTACTCAAGATCAGTTTAAAAATGAATTGTTAATAAATATATATAGTAATAATTGTTACTATTTATTGTTTTCAATATCCGATTAGTGATAAACTCAGCTTACTTTAAAAGAAACATTTAAAATCAGATACTAACTGGTGATGCGTAAGTTATCAGACAAAATAAAAATATCAATAACTTATTTATAAATGAAAAAAAAACTATTATTATATCTTTTTAAAAGAAAGTATTAAACTTCTAATAAAAATAAGTTTTTATATGAATATACACCGCCATCTGCAATTGATCTCAATTTCGTTCTGACACCTTTCATGAGCGACTGTAAAAAATTTAAATCGATTTCTTGCAGTTTTAATTTAATTCGATCAATCAAAACTTGCTCTGTTGAAGCTTGCCAATCTCTCTTGTAAACCTTCTGTACCAAAGGTGTCCAAAAGTTTTCAATCGGTCGTGCTTGAGGCGCATTAGGGGAATTGGATTCATTATCAACGTAATAGCCATATTGGTCCATCCAGTTTAGAGAACCTTTAGAATAATCAGAACTTGCTAAATCTAGCCAAAATAAATAGTTCTCCATGATACCGGTGAATGAATGGAAGAAGTCGTTTTTCTAAACATTTATTAATATAGATTGATGAGTTAGTTGCTACAGCCTTGGAAGAGCGAAACAATCCCAAGTAGCAAACAATATTGGCGCAATATTGGCGCGATATTGTTTACAATATTGGCGCAATATTGTAAACTATATCGCGCCAATATTGCAATGTCAACATTTTGCCAATATTGGCCAATATTGGCGGTACAACATTGCGCCAATATTGTAAATTCAATATTGGCCAATATTGGTGGTACAATATTGCGCCAATATTGTAAATTCAATATTGGCCAATATTAGCAAAATGTTGACATTACAATATTGGCGCGATATCGTTTACAATATTGGCACAATATTGTAAATAATATCGCTCCAATATTGGAGATATAATACTGGCCAATATTATATGTAGATAAATGTTTTATGTAATATAATATATAAATTATATTACATAAAACATTGTATTTATTTATATATAATTTTTTTTTGTATTTATTTTACATATTAGATAGAACAAGTTAAACATTAAAAACAATATTACACCAATATTGGCCAGTATTATATCCCCAATATTGGCGCGAAATTATTTTCGAACATACCAAGGTCAGATAAGGTTATTTTAGAGTCTTTTCACGTTTTCTATATTTAATATTCATTTTTTTAACCAACGACCAGTGTCAATTGATTTACACCGAATTTAAAACCTATTTTTCTCTGACTGACCCTATTTCGATTGTTGACAAGTCTCCTTAATTCGGCTGTCATTTCTTTAGTCCAGAATGTTGGAAGACCAGGGTGCTTTCTATCAGAAAAAGCTTAATTAGTTTTAAGTCTTTTTAGGAAAACGATTTTCTTTTTTTATATTAGGTTTATATACAAAAAACATTTTGATTCGCTTTCAAAAAGATTCTCGTTCAGCAGCATTTAACCTCATTTTAAATAATTGTGTTTCAAATAATAAAATTTATACTTTATAGAAAATTTATGCCTGCGCGTAAAACCACAAAAAAAAGTTATTATGCTCAAATAATTAAATTCATATTTGTCCAATACGCAACAAATTAAAAAAAAAGTAGCCGCGATTGGAAGGAATCGAACCTCTAGTTTCTTGTTCAGAAGTTCATTGTTCCGCCTTACCCTTTATTCAGATATTGAAATCCACAAACAGCGACAATTGTTTTAATTCATTTTCATAATTCATTTCGGTAAAAAAAATTTTGGTGCCTTATCAAAATAATTTTTAAATTTTGTAATGTATTTTAATACAAATTTTTTGAAAATCTTGAAAATAGTACTTTTTAAAAACAATACTTCTAAAGAATGTGAATGATTGGTTAACGGAAAAATGCACATAATAACTGAATCATGCACTTAATAATCTGAAAAATGCACTTAATAATCTGAATTTAATATTAAAAACACTATTTTTTTGCTTTTTTACTTGAAGGCCTACTATATCCAAAAATTGTATATAGTAGGCTTACAACCATTTTAAAAATTGTATATAGTAGGCTTAAATCCATTTTAGTTTATTTGAAGGTCGTTCACCTTCTGCAACAGGTATTGACATTGCGTTAAATATTCAAAATAAAATGTATATAGATTCGTATAGATCCTTTGAATATATTTGGTCGAGAAAGTCTAAAGTATTTTTAGAAGACTACTTGAAGCTATCAAGATGCGAAATACCTTCCATAAAGTTTTTACAATTTCACTTTTAAACTGAAACTGTTAAATGAAATGACAATGCACAACTTTTAAGATATTCACTTCAAGCTAATGAACGATAAATTCATGGAAAAAACAGAATATTCATTCTGTGATATCCATGTAATCTGACAAGTAATCTGCTCATCATGGGTCGATATTTCATGCCCTGATGTGCATGAAAATATCAAACATTCTAATTAGAAACCAATTAGAGACTGTTTTGTTTTTTGAGCAGCCGTGGCACACCATAGTTGCTCAAAAAGGAACCACTACGCCATGGAGTAAGTGGTAAGAAGTCAAAATTAACTATTACGCCATCGCGCATGTAAAATACGCTATAGTGAAGGCTTGCTTTAAAAGCAAATGATCCATGGTTTGAAGCGAGCTCTGGGCATATTCCGCGCCATTGGTATGGAAGAAGGCAAGAACTTTTAGTTAAATGCTCCTCCTCTGTTACAAGATTGTAAGGTCTTCTTGAGACACCTAGAACAAAAATACATAAAAAGATAAAATACTTTGATTGAAGCTAATGCAACGATATTAGAGCAGCATTAAATCTCTATGCTATTAGTTTTACAGCAACAATCTGCTGACCTAATGATTATATCAAAGTTTTAAATAACATATTTCTTAAGTTGTTAAAGAAATAAATTATTAATGCTTTTTTAAATATTTTAATTAAATTAAGAAATAAATTTCTAATAATTAAAAGTAAAATTCTTTCGTAATATAAATAAAGCAATTTAATTCCTATGCACATCACAAAGTATATTTATTTTATACCTCTTCAATAAAAACATTTTTTTGTTGCTTTTTATAAATTAAAATCTCATAATGATATTTCTTTATTATATTTTTTATTATTATATTTTTTTATAAATTAAAATCTCATAATGATATTGATATATATATATATATATATATATATATATATATATATATATATATATATATATATATATATATATATATATATATATATATATATATATATATATGTATATCGGTACAAATGTATACAAAAAAGCGCATATGAAATGTATATATATATATATATATATATATATATATATATATATATATATATATATATATATATATATATATATATATATATATATATATATATATATATATATATATATATATATATATATATATATATATATATATATATATATATATATATATATACATACATATATATACTTTTCAATATATATCTTTATATTATATGGATTCAAATATAATGGAAAATGCATCTAATATATATAAAATTTTTATAATCATATCTAGCAATTTTATTAGTTTTTACCTTTTAGCAAAAGTAA